TTTCGAGGCAGGGTTTCTCTATGATTTTGGAGCCTGTCCTGGAACTAGCTCTTGTAGAGCAGGCTGGTCTGGAACTCACAGAGATCCGCCTGCCTCTACCTCCCAAGTGCTGGGATTAAAGGAGTGCGCCACCAACTCCCGCTATCACCTCTTATCTTAATGGAAGTTTTTCCTTTCCCTTTATGGTCCCATGACTGCTGAATTCGGCCTTTGCGATACCCTATAACCAACGTATGTCTCAAACTGGAACAAATCATCCTACCTCAGCCTCCTCCTACTCAACTTAATGGTGCTATTACCTATCATTAAAACAAAACAAAACAAAACAACAACAAAAACTCCACACAAACACAAGTCTATGGGGCCATCATCACTCAAACCACCGCATACATAAAACTTCACTGACAGAGAAGGGCATGCCAATATACGTATCAAATTGTGGTACAATTTTGTTCCAACTATTTATACACATCTTAAAACACCAGTATCTATGACCAACAAACTACTATGGATTATCAAATTCTCTTTTCCACCTGGGCAACAGGACACATCTTTAACCTCAGTGCTGGGGAGGCACTGATGGAGACACTGTTGCAAATGAGTCCCAGGTGAGCCCAGCTATATATACAGTGTGACCCTGACTCAAAACAGTCAAAATAAACAAGACATGCAACTGACTTTCCAAAGCATTTTACTTTATGTACCAAGTCACCACATACAACTTTATAAGTTCTTTTTCTTGGGGGGGGGGAGGATAGTGTGTGTGGGGGGGAATAGAGATTAAACCTGCGGTTCCCCACATGCTAGGCAAGCATTCTATCACTAAGTTATCCTGGAAGTCCTCACAGCACTTCCTGAATTTTCAACTCCATATACGCTGTTCTTGCTGGAGGTCTCAGTCCACACTATACTGGCCTTTTCAAGACAGGGTTTCTCTGTGTAGCCATGGCTGTCCTGGAACTTTGTCTGTAGACCAGGTTGGCCTTGAACTCAGAAATCCTCCTGCGTCTGCCTGGCAAACAGGAGCGCTGAGTTAAAGGTGTGTGCCACTTCCGCCGGCCAATAAGCACCCTTTCATTCATTGGTTACAGTATTTTTTTTTCCTGAGTCAGAGTTCTTGTAATATAGCCCATGATGGCCTTAACTCTGTACATAGCCAGCCTGATCCCGAATGTTCTAACCTCCTGCCACTGCCTCCACTGCACCTGGACCACAAGAATAAACTGCTGTTTCCAGATTGTTTTTTGTGTAGTATGTGTGTGCTGTACCTGTGCTCTCTGAGACATGACCCCAGCAGTCATCAGCAAACATTTCTTTTCTGTTGTTCTTTTGTTAACTGATTTGGTGGGGTGAATTAAAGCCCCAAACCAGTTCACTGGGCTTGCTTCAGCATGGTATGCCCTCCAGAAGAGCATCTTGGTGTTGGAGAAACAATCAAGTGTGCCTGGTGGCAGAGACCACAACATGAAATGACAGCCTCTAATCACAGGGTGACTTCTCAGAGAAACCAGCCTTCTAACCTGCTACATGACAAACACCAAAATAGGGTTTTTAGGAAAGACTACTGTCTAGAATAACACATAGTTTATTCATGCCTTGTCTGAGTGGTCTCTAAGCTTTGAAAATTAGATTTAAAAAATCTGTGGTGGGTTGTGGTGGCACACGCCTTTAATCCCAGTACTTGGGAATAACTCTGTGAGTTCAAGGTCAGCCTGGTCTACAGGGAGGGCCAGGACAAGCTCCAAAGCTGTCAAAGCTGCAGAGAAACCCTGTCTCAAAAAAACCAAAGAAAAAGCCTGTCTACACTAATTCAGATACAGAGGAAGGGATGGCCTTCTCTATTTCAACCCAACACCACTCTACTATGTCCTCTAAAGAGACCACGTGATGTACTAGTTTGAAAACGTACTGTTGTCATTGGTGCGAAGGATGAAAAAATAAACTAAAACAGGCTCTGAACTGCGTGTTTACCCATAATTCGGTCTCACTTTATTGGGGGTTCTGCAGGCATGCTCGTCTTTCATGTAGGCTCTGGCCAATCCCTCTCCAATGGATGGAGGCACCTCACAACTTCTTGCCCGGCTTGATGCTCAGCCTGGATGTCTCGTCTTCCCATGGCTTCCTAGTCTTTGCTTGGAGCACCATCACAGTATATGACATCACCGTGGTCCCCACATTGCCATTGATAACTAACATTGATTTGACATATTCCATTGCTAGACACTTCTTAACCACTTCCCACATACTACCTGCTTTTGTCCTCCCAACTCTATTGGGCACGTACTATTTTCCAGACAGGAAAGCAGAGCCATCTAGCTCCTGGATGAGAACCCAGCCATCTGGATGCAGTGTCTGAGCCTGCACTCTTTACAGCACCCCACGCTCCTACTGAGTCCTAGGGGAGCACAAGGGCAAACACTCATTCAGAGCGCGCACTGGAAGCTAAGCGCTTGAGATGTTGATGGCTATGGGGAAGGCTGGAAACATGACTTCAAGTAGTACGGTGCATCACACAAGATCAAGCTAAAACAAGTCAGAAAAAAGCCGAGTCCCTTCCTCTATCCCCTGGTGTCTTCCACAGATTCTTGCAGAAACAACGGAAGTTATCAGTTACCGAGCAGTCAGGAGAGCCTTTCACCTCTCTTCGGAGGGACAGAAGTACACAACTCGCAGTTGGAAAGGACTGTTCCAAAACACGTAAACCTAATTTGTTACTGGTGGCAAAATACTGAAGGCACAAGCTGATTTCGGTTTTGCTGGCTTAATATTCGCTTTATAATTCACAGAACAAGGTTCCCATATGTGTGAATACATACTTAGACCAAGTCTCCTCTGTCGGTCCAGAACTCACTTTGTAGACCAGAGTGGCTACGAATTCGCAGCAATCTTTCTGCCTCAGCCTACAGAGTGCGCCACCAGTACCGGCCGAGTCTTGTCTGAAATCACCATCCCATTTTACAGGAGGAGAAACTGCGGCAGCGAGCGAGCTTACACGGCTGCAATCCTCGTCTCTGCGGTCACCAACTCCATCCGTGACATTCCGCCCCTCCGAGTTTCAGCAGTCACGAAGTCTTGAACCCGGAGCAGGCGGACTCCCTTCCCACTTCACTTTCCCCGCAGGGCCCGCCAGGCTGCAGCGGGTCACCAAACGCCCGGTCCCGGCTCCCAGCAAAGCCCTGAGGCCATCCACCTGCGGGCCAGCCCGGGGTCGGAGCCCGGGGAAACTCACTCACCTCTAGACGCCGGAGTCAGAGCGCCTGCGGGGTCCGCGGGGCGGCGACTCCCGGCGGCGGGCGCGAGCCGGCCCTCTGCGGGCCACTTCCGCCGAGCGCCCCCGTGAGCTCGCGGTCGGCTCGGCGCGAGGGCGCCCGGCGGGGCCGCGGGGTCTCCGGGAGCGTGCGGCCGGGGCCGCCACGTGCGGGGTCGCTCGGGCCCGCGCGCGCGCGCGCCCGCCCCAAGCCCCTCCCCCGCGTCCCCTCCCCTCCCCCTCCTGCCCCGCGCCCCGCCCGCACTCACTGAACATCCCAAGGCGGCTCCCGCTGCCCCGCCGCCGCCCCGGCACCGGCTGCTTCCGTAACGGCTGTCCCGCCCGAGGACTCCGTAGCGCGGCCGGCTCGCGAGGTCCCCGCACCCTACGTCCCACCGCGCTGCACCGCGGTTCTTGGCGGCCGCCCCATGACCGCCTGACGGAGCGGGCACGCCGGGCTAGGCCGCGGACGCGCGACGCCGCGGCCAGGGCGCACTCGGCGCTCCGCTAGCGATGTCTGCGTGACGCCCCTCCCCGCCCCGAGCCGTTGGCGTCAACGTCTGCCGGAAGCGCCTCCCTCACGTGCGGCTCGTGGCGGTGGAGGTCCCAGGTGAAGGCGGCGCGGGAACGCCGTCCGGATGCCAGCCGGCCCCAGAGGGAACCTCGCTGGAGAGGCCGGGTGCGAGAAGGGATAGCCCGCCGCCCCGTCCGAGGGAATTCTCCCAGAGGGTTCCCCCAGCTGCGGCGGGAGCCCCGGTCGAGAGAACCCCACTTTAGAGTCCGTCTTGAGAGCGCGCGCCCCGTCTAAGGGATCTTGGGGCTAGGGCGGCAGAGAACTCCGATCCGAGCTAGTAGGATTTGAAGGTATCAGTCTAGGACTTTCTTTTTAAAAAGTTTCTTTTTTAATTTCTCTGAGTGTTTCGTCTGTGCGTGTCTGTGTCCACCTGCAGAGGCAGGAAGAGGGCGTTACCGGGGGGCTGTGAGCTACAGTGGGGTACGGGACTCGAACCTGGCTTCTCTGAAGAAGCGTTAAGAAATCTTAACCAATGAGTCACTCAAGTCTCCGGATCTAGAATAGTGGCTCTCAACCTTGTTATGTTCCTGCCCTTTAATACAGTTCCTCGTGTTGTGATGACCCCTCAACCATAAAGTTATCTCGTTGCCATTCGTAACTATGATTTCCCCACTGTTACGTGTAAACATCTGTTTGATAGGCGACCCTGTGAAACTGCTGCCCTGGCTCCTTCCGAGGGTGACGGGCGGGAAGGGATGCGTCTCAGTTCTGAAAGCAGCCTATGTTCTCTTGCCTTGACGTAGCAGTGTGGTGAATGTTTATCTTTTTTGAGCTAATTTGTTTACTGAAAATGACGAATTTTTATGACTTTTGAAGAAACTCAAAAGCTTTGCGTGGGTTTCATAGTAATTGCAGGTTGTTAATGTATATGCTTTCCCCTTGTTACTTAAAATTTTATTACAACATTTTTTTAAATCGTGTATATGTTTTGTAGTCTAATGTAGCTCTGCATGTGGAAGAAATTACCTGTTATAGTAGAGATAACAGCATTTCTATTGAAATTGATGCCTGTTTTGTTTGTCTGTTTATTTCTCATGCATGCAGGCGCCCGGGGAGGGTAGAAGATGCCGAATTCCCTGAAATTGAGTTGCAGATAGTTATGAGCTGTCATATGGGTGCCAGGAACTGAACTCAGGTCCTCTATCTATAAAAGTAGGAAATGCTCTTAACTGCTAAGCTATTTCCACCACCATGACACCTGATTCTTTTACCCTGGAGTAGAAGCATTACTTCAAGTATTGTATTGCTTGCTTATTTGCTTACTTAATAAAGCTAATCCTAAGACACAATACATTTTAAAAGCTATTTGCCGAAACGTCTTTCAGTCTTAACTCATGGATGGTGACTATCATTCTGTGAGTTGTTTACACACTCATTTGCCTTGTTGAATTTCTATATATTCTGTGTGCTCTGTGATCACAGCAGGAGTAGTTATAATCATCTGTCTGTTTTTGCTGAAATCCAGGTTAAAATTAAATACATACTTTAGTTTATTTATACATATAAATGTTATGTTATAGGTATAATAAATACACTATACTTATATAATTGTCTAAATATATATATAATGTACTTGTATATTTATATATTCATGTATAAAATTTTGAGACAGTGTCTCACTTTGTATCCTTGGCTGGCCTCTTAACTCCTAGAGATCTGCCTGCCTCCTCTGTTTCCCAGTTGTCCCCATATGTAAGGTATGTAGTGGGGGACTGGAGAGATGGCTCAGCAGTTATGAGCACTGGCCACTCTTGCAGAAGACCTGGGTTCAGTGTCTAGCTCCTGCGTGGTGGCTAGCTTATAACTCTCTGTACTCCAGTCTCAAAGGATCTGATGCCCTCTTCTGGCTATCTTAGGCTCTTACATGCATACACTCAGACGCATATACATAAATATTTTTTTAAAGATAGTGTCATTTTTTGGTGCCTGTTCAGTTAGACCTTATTATAATACTGTTTTCTTTTTAACAGTAGAAGACGTGTAGCCATGGCTGCTGTTTATTCTGGCATTTCCTTTAAGCTTAAAAGCAAGACAACTTCCTGGGAAGATAAACTAAAACTAGCTCACTTTGCTTGGATTTCCCATCAGTGCTTTCTACCAAATAAAGAACAAGTAAGTTTAATATAGAACTTAGATTTTTATGATCTAAAATAATTACATTATGACTTGGATATTGACATTTATTTAACAGATTAGAAGACAAGTTAGGGAGGAAGCTTCATTGGAGTTAAAAGTAGTGAGATCTTTCAGGTTGTTAGGTTGAAGGTTGGGAAGATGGGGAGTGGTAGTCTCTTTAGAAGGCCAAGCTAGAAATAGAGAAGCACCAAGTATAACATTATTCTATTAATATTTCTTAAGCTTCTGTGACTAAAAAGTAGATAATGTAACTGTCGTACGATAAGAAGCTCATGGAATTGGGTTGACATACATTCCAATGTTGGTTTTATTTTTTTTATTATTAAATTTTTGCAATGTTTGTTTTATAGGAAGTACCATGAGATGCACCAAAAATTTATTATAATTGTTAGTTATAAGATGTAGTGTGTAGAACAATTGACCTCCTAGTGTCCACACCTACTACACATTTGAATCAGCTTAGCAGCTTGGTGGGTCCCTGGTCAGCGCTGCACAGTGTGAAACAGAAGGGTAATTGCGGCAGGCTTGGTCAAGACCTGTGTTGTCCTTGTCCTTTTCCTTCTAGCGTTGGTTGCCCTTCACACATATTGACAGGTCTGGAGAGGGAAGCTCAGGGCTTGATGTCGTAGTGTTTGCCATCATCAACAGCACCACAGTTTTGAGAGCCGAGGCTTTACCTTTTCTCAGTGTTTTGCGATTGAGTCAACATCGCCATAATGGAAACTGCATGTGCACAGCGCTCTTTCTCAGAAAGCCCTTGTGCATCAGTTTGCCTTGCTTGTGACTCCTGAAAGATAGATCTAGAAGGTATACTGCATATGTCTTCTCTCCCAGCCCCATTTTTTTTCTTATCCCTTACTTCCATTTTGATTTGCATATGTGATTCCTTCTGTGGACATTGTGTTTCTCTTTAAAAAAGCCATTGAATAATGTTATTGCAATGAAATTTTTCATTGACTCCAGGCTAAGGCAACATTGTTTTTCCTCTTTTATTCCTTAATAAACATTTCAAGATTTCATAACATATATTATTTAACATACAAGTGAGGATTTAAAACAAATGCTTTCACTATATATCTTGTGTTGACATTGAATTGAGATCTTTTGGCCACAGCTTCCTAAGTACTGATATTAATAGCTATGTGTAACCATATTCAGCCTATTTGTTTCAAATAGGATCTTGCTCTGTTGTCCAGTCTCATCCTGATCTTGTAGATGGAAGTGCTCTTCCTGTTTCAGCCCCAGTGGGAGCTGACACTGCAGACACATTTTAAAGGAAAGCTGTTTTTGTTTTTCTTGCAATAGAATTTGGTCATGGCTGGATGTCTCTATAATGTTTAAAATTTTTCTCCCATGTAAGAAGTTAATTTTCACAGTATGTTTCCTACAAATCCAGGTTTTACTTGATTGGGCAAGACAGACATTGGTTGCATTTTATAATAAAAAACTCGAACTGCAGGAAGATATTGTTGAAAGGCTCTGGGTCTATGTAGATAACATTCTACACAGCAGGAAATTGCAGAATCTCCTGAAGAGTGGAAAGACTGTGAATCTTCAGATTTCCCTTGTCAAGGTAAATCATGGTCTCCCGTTGGCTTATGTTATGTGCATCCTTGTTAATTTCTCGTTGCTGCTTAAACTTGTTTTTTTCAGAATCAGTTATGTGAAGATGTGGGAAATTTCAAGTTAGGGGAGGGAGAAGGAAGAAGAAATAATAGTATCCAAAAATAGAAAACGTTACTTTTAAAACAGGGCCTCTATATGTAACTCTGACTATCCTGGAACTTTCTATGTAGGCCAGACTGGCCTAGAACTCATAGAGATCTACCTGCCTCTGCTTCCTGAATGCTGGGATTAAAAGCGTGAACCACCTTGCCTGGCCTGTGAACAGGTTTTTATGACCATCTGCTCTCAATCATGGTCTTCTGCTTTGTATACCAAGTGCTGGGATTGCAGGTAAAACCGTCAGAGCCAGCTTTACTACTTTTTAACTGGAAAAGGTAGCTACTGTATTATAACTAGACTCACACACACACAGACATTTGATGAGATTTTCTGGGGGAAGATCAAAGATAATCTGGAAATTATTTCAGTTTTTTTTTTATTAAAATCACAAAAGTCTGAACTTCATTGTTAAAACAGTATTTTCAGATGCCATAATAATTGCCATTAAAAACCAGTACTAATGAGCATTTAGCACATGACAGGCTCAAAGGGTATAAGAATATATGGCCATTTATAAATAGTAAATGGCAGCATTGGGATTTGAAACTAGATGTGTCTGGTTGTCGAGCTGTTCAGCCAGAGCCTCACAGAATGGAATGGAACAGACTAGAGAACAAAGAAGTAGATAAGCTGCCAGTAATTCTTAGACTACACCCTTCCTTCCCTGTGACACTGTTAAATAATAGGAACATTCTAAGTGGTCTTTCAAGGTAAGACTGAAAGATGAGTAGCTTTATATTTAAGAAATGATAGAACTTTTAAAATAAATGTATGTTTATGTGAAATATTACTTGAGGACCCATGAAACGTGAACACAAATTATGCTTTAGGGACTAAGTGTAGAAAAGATTTTTTTTATTGATCTATTTAATAAAATATCTGGTGGAAACTGGTGATATGTTGACATCTTAGGATTTAGCACATTTGCTATGACTTTTAAGCTAGTACTTACTTGAGTGGAAATAATGATTGTTTCATGTAGTTGCTAATAGCTTAGCACCTCAGACAGCTTTGATTCTTAGATCTTATATGACCAGGAGCAAATCACTGGCCTTATAGTAAATTTTGGGATCTGCCTGAATTTGGAATTTTGAAAGCAAAAACAATGTGTCTGCTGTATGATAAAAAGAAAGGTACTTACTGGCATCCAATTAGCTATGTAATTGAGGGATGACCTTGGAGTTTTGATCTTCTGCCTATAGTGTTATATTATTTGTGTTAATAAATAAAGCTTCTTGAAGATCAATGCAAAGCAGACACTAGTCAACCATACAGGCCAGGCAGTGGTGGCACACAACCTTTAATCCCAGCAGTCCACACAAGTTAGCTGTAGGAAGAGATAGGTCTCAGTCTCAGTCTAAGGATTCATGGAGGCAGGTTCGTCCATTTTCGGTCTGAGGGAAAGGTAAGAGCCAGTGACTGGCTGCTTGCTTTTCTGATCTTCAGGTTGAACCCCAATATTATGCTATGCTTGCCTGTTCCTCTTGAGTACTGGGATTACAGGCATGCACTATCACACTCAGTTTATGTAGTGCTGGGAATTGAACCTAGGGCTTTAAACATGTTAGGCAAGCATTCTACCAATGGAGTTACATCTCTTAGCACTGCTTTGGTGTTTTTAATAGGAAAATGTAATGACTATAATATGTATATAGGACCACAGGATCATGACTCAAGTGCTACCTGATGACATCTGAGATAAGTTAAAGATTTAGGGTCTATACCTTTTCTTCCTATTGGGTTGCCTCATCCAGCCTTGATACAAGGGTTTTTGCCTAGTCTTTATCACATGTTATGCCATGTCTATATCCTTAAGATATTATGCCTTAATATCCTTAAGATGTCCTATTTTCTTTTGTAGGGAAACAAGTAGATCTGGGGTAAAGGGGAGGTTAGGGATGAGGGGACTGTGAGGAGTGGAGGGAGAGGAGACTGTGGTTGGGATGTATGAGAAAAGAATAAATAAAAAGAAAAAATATTGACTACTGACTTTTAAGCTTTGCAAAGCCTCTTGGAATTGGATGGCAGTAAACCTTTTCAGAATTGATACTGACAGGAGATGGATGTGTGAAGAAATTAGAACAGACACTTTATCTTTTATTGATGCATTAAGTAAGTATCAAGTTCATGTTAGAGGTAAAAAGTCCGGTTTCTCATCAAAATGGGAGAGGAATGATTGATTCTTTCACAATTTCTGAGCAAATGTAGCTTCAGGGTAGTCATGACCTTTATTTCTTTCTTAATACTCAGGTTATAAATGAGAGACTAGCAGAGTTCTCACTTGCGGGATCCCAGAAGAATGTCTGTGCTATCCTGAGTTGCTGCCAGGGCATCCTCTCAACACCTGCCCTTGCTGTCATCTACACAGCCAAACCAGAGCTGATTGTAGCTTTGCTGAGCCACCTTTGCTGGTCAGTCTGCAGACAACCGGAAGGAGCCATGACAGTCCAGCTATTTGAAGTCATTCATCTGGCTCTTGACCATTACCTCAAGCTTCAGCAACAGCAAGCCAACCCCAGACGTGTCTTTGCAGATATGACTGGCCACCTCCTCCAGCCTTGCCTAGTCCTGAGACATTTGCTTTTTGGGGGCACATGGACACAGGCTGGTCAGGGCCAGTTACGGCAGGTACTGAGCCGAGATATCAGGAGTAAGATTGACACGGTTCTTCGAAGTGGTGTTTTTCGACATGATTTACTCTCATCTTATAAAGAGGAGCTCTTGGAACAGCACCAAGACAACGGAAAGATAGGGGTTCTGAAGAGTCTTCTCACTCCAATGGAAACTGTGATTAAAAGACTGGTAGAGCCTGACTACATCAAGTCAGACCTGCATGCTTCGGTTGTGGCAAACTCAGTGTCCTTATTGTACAGACTCTTTTTGGACTCGTACCTTAAGGAAGAAAACCAGTTCCTTTGTTTTCAGGCTCTCCCCAGGTTGTTTGGCTGCTTGCAGATTTCACACCTGCAAGAGGGACAGATGGAAGCTCTAACCCTATCAGATTGGACCACAGAGCTTCTGGCTGTAGAGCAACTGCTAAATTCAGTGGCCACCACCAACATCTACAATGTGGCTGCTGACAGGATCCGACATGAGGAGACACAGTTCCACTTCTACCGCCATGTGGCTGAGCTGCTGATCAACCATTCACAAGCACCTGTGCCAGCTTGGTTTCGCTGCCTCAAGATTTTAATGTCTCTGAATCATTTGATTTTAGAACCAGACCTAGATGACCTGTTGTCTTCAGCCTGGATTGATGCAGAAGTAACAGAATTTCGAGCTAAAAAAGCCCAGGAGGTACTTATTAACACTGTCTTCCAGACATATGCCAAGCTCCGACAGGTGCCACGATTGTTTGAAGAAGTTTTGGGAGTGATCTGCTGTCCAGCGGCAGAGGCACTGAGGCAGCCTCTGCTTACCTCAGGCCCCTCTCTGGCTCTCTGTGCATGCCTCTTGGAGCTGCCACTGAGTCAGATCCTGGATACATGGTCCCTTGTACTAGATAAGTTCCAGTCTTTAATCATACCCTGTTTGCAGAGTGACACGGACATGGCTTTGAAGGCATTGTCACTGAGCTCTCTGCTGCATTGTATCATGTTCAACATGCCAAGTCTGGACAACAGCATGCCTCTGCCCATCATCAGACAGACACAGTGCATAATGGAGAGGATGCTGAAAGAGCTTGTGAGACCCCTTTTGGGCCTTCTCGTGGACCTCTGGAGCTCAGAGTCTGAGCTGTGGCAACAGAAGGTGAGTGACTCTGCACTCTTACTCTCTTACACCTGGACTCAAGTGGACACTACTTTCAGTTTGCACTGCAGCCAGTATCATTCTCTGGCAGGGCCCCTAGCTGGGGCTGCACTGGATGTCTCAACCCTCCCTTTGTTGCTACCAGGTGTGGAAACACAGCTTTGGAAGAAGGTGGAAAAGTGTATAGTTCAGTCCAGGTCTCTCAGTAGGTACTGCTTAGAACAGCTGTACCTGCAGAAGGTGAAAAGGACTTTGATGCGAACTAGTTCCCAGTCTAAAGAAGCCCTTCAAACCTTGAGGGATGACACTGCCCGCATTCTGGATTCTAGCAGAGACTGTTTAAGTCAGAAGACAGTAGTTGCCTGGGATAGGCAGGTGTCAACAATGAATGAGTCTACATATCCTGTAGCACACTGGCACCTGATCGTATCAAACCTCACAGTTTTAGTACCCTACCTTTGTTTGGATGATGTGAAATATTTGGCCACTGTCCTGTTAAGAACTTTACCAGCAAATAAAGCCCAGGAAAGCTTGGCCCATGGTGAGCCATACATCACACTTGAGACAGTATCCACAGCCCTCCTGCACAGCCCTCTCTTTCCAGAGATGCCATCCCTTCATTCTGCCTTCCTGATGTGTATTACTGCAGAATGTTCTAGCATTCTGTGCTCTGGTGCCCATAGTGATCTGAGTCTTATTAGTCAGCGGTTTCCCTGGCTTTTTGAAAAGGACTACCACACATTTGTGGCTCACTGGGAAACCAAATTAGCAAAAGTTGGACTTGAAGGTGTAGAACCAAGAGGAGAAGTTGCCCAGAATTTTCTATCTATGATCAAGAATGGTTTTCCTATCAAGCTGGATGAAGAGCAGCTAAAAGTCCTCCTGGAGCTCTTACAGGTCATCTCCACCCTTCACCTGGACAGCCTCAAGCCATCTTACCACGTGCATTTTTTTTTTCTGTTAGTCTCCATGGCTGTCTCCACATTGGAGCATTGCTCTTGCCCACTAGCCCTCCAGTACTTGGTGACATGCTACCGACTCCTTAGTGGTCTGCAGAGGGGAAGAAATGCCCGCTCTGTGTTCAGGGTCATGTATGTTAGTGACATCTTTGAGGTTGTGCTGACCTCACTGTTGCAAGCCAGCACAGAATTTCAAGTTAGGGAGGATGACCCCGATTGGCTACAGCTTCTTCAAGTGTTAGGGATGTTCTTGGAACAGCTAATGCAGATGCTTATCCAAGTAAAGCTGAGCTTGGTGCTCAATTTTGGAAAAATCACTGCCTTCCTCTCAAGATGTAGTAAGGAAGCTTCCAGCAAAGAATTGAAGATCCAGAGCCTTCGGTGTAGGCAGCTGCTTCTAGTGGCTCTAAACAAGTTGTGTCAAAGTTTGGGGCCTTATGTTAAGGAGCGAAGGCAGCTACTGGAGGCATCAGCAGCACTACCTGAGCTGCTGCAGCAGGCCATGATGCAGATGGGTGCCATGCTGCATCTCTGCCTAGTGCCTGGAACTACAGGCCGCCGCCTGCCTTCAGTCCTCCTCTCAGCTGTCCCCACGCTTTTAGAAGTAGACCTGAGCCAACATGTTCGGGAAGGACAGCCCCAGATTTCTCAAGTGGTGGATACGGATAGAACAGTGCTTTCTCACATGGCCCTTTATCAGGATGTCTACATTCAGTTGCTGGAGGAGTTGCCTGCCCTGTCGGGGAATACTCAGTCTTTCCAGGCAGCCTTGCAATTTCTAACCTTGTTCTTTTTGGCCCCAGAGCTCCATTCCAAGGAGAGCTCTGTTTTTACTTCCATCTTTCATTCTGTGCAGAAAGTTCTTAAAGGTAAGGTGGGGTTTTTTTTTGTTTTTTAATTATGTGTATGTATGTTTTGCCTGCATATATGTCTGTGTACCAAGTATATGCCTGGTGTCCTCAAGCCAAAGGATCGTGTTAGATTCCATGGACTTGAAGTCACTGATGGTCGTGAGCTGCATGTTCGTGATAGGAATCCAACCTGGATCCTTTGAGCATTCAGCCAGTGCTCTTAACCACTGAAAAAAATCTCTCCAGACCCAGTAAGGTGTTTCTCTCTGAACTGATTCTGCGTTGCAGAGGCTTAAGTCAAAGGGACCTCCATGGCCAAGTTACCGTGTTTCATCTCTTAAGATTCATATGCCTGTCACTTCAGCATGTCCTACTGGTGTGTACCACAACTGTCCGGGCTTCCCCCCCACCTGGCAGCTTCAGAAGGTACCACATGAGCAAGCTTGCCCTGTAGATATGCATCTGGGACATCATTTTCTCATTCTGTTTTGGCATGTGTAAACCTTTCCAACTTTCCCTCTCCTGTGCACACTGTACCTTTCTAGTCTTCTCAGGTCCTCTCATATTTTAGGGATTATTTTGTGTACATTCATGCCTGTTTGTTAGAGGTACAGTCTTACTATGTAATGGCTGACCTGGAACTCATTATATAGACCCGGCTCATCTCAAATTCCACACCTAGAATTTTTTTTTTAAGTCATGTGTATATGGGTGTGTGGACATATGAGGGCAGGTGCCTGTAGATTCTAGGTGAGGGCTGCTTATTCTCTGGAGTGCACATACGAGTGCACAGCTGTAAGCTGCCCATCATGGATGCTGGGACTTAATTTAGGTTTTCTATGTGAACATTATGTGCCCTTAACCACTGAGCCATCTCTCCAACCCCCATTCATTTTTTAATTGCTACTGTTCTTGTTCTTGGCCTTTAATTTGCTCTGGCCACAGTTGACTCAAGTGGATTATCTCACCTGGGGGAAACTCCTATATCAGGCCTATAGTACTATAGATTAACTTTGAAAATTACATAAAATCTATTTTCCTCAGCACCCCAATCAGTGTGCTCAATTGTGTGTGTGTAGTAAAATAGACTCATCTAGTGTCATCTCTGTTAATGAGTTTCGCCCTTTTAGGCAGCTAAGACTTCAGACACAGACCAGTGAGAGAGCTGATGTCTTCCAGCCCAAAACTGACCCTGAAGCTGTATAGATCAAAGGTTTAGGGATTCCTATATAGCCATTGAAATGTTATGGAAATTATTTAGAATCATCTAAAAATATTCATGTTAAAAAAGTACACTATGCCAGGTAGTAGTGACACACGCCTTTAATCTCAGCACTCAGGAGACAGAGGCAGGTGGATCTCTGAGTTTGAAGCCAGCCTGGTCTGCACAGTGAGTTTCAGGGCAGGCTCCAAAAGCTACTGACAAATCCAGTCTCAGAAAAGAAAAAAAAAATTACTAAATTATTGTGTTTGAAAGGGAGTTATGGGGCTGGAGAGATGGCTCAGAGGTTAAGAGCATTGCCTGCTCTTCCAAAGGTCCTGAGTTCAATTCCCGGCAACCACATGGTGGCTCACAACCATATGGAATGAGGTCTGGTGCCCTCTTCTGACCTGCAGACATACACACAGACAGAATATTGTATACATAATAAATAAATAAATAAATAAATAAATAAATAAATAAATAAATATTAAAAAAAAAAGAAAGGGAGTTATGATGCACGCCTTTAATCCTGGCACTCCAGAGACAGAGGCTGCATAACAAGTTCCAGACCAAGGGTACATAGTGAAGCCTTTGTCTGAAAACCCAAACATAAATAAAATCTTAAAAAAGTATATTAAATAGAGTCACTCCCCAAAGCAGACAAAGATGAACAGGCCTGATATCTTCTTGAATCTAGTCAGTACATATCATAGGCGGCAGAGGCTTTCTTTTTAGTTTTTGGGGCCAGAATAGGAAGTAGGTAGTCTTTTGAGGTTAGACTTTGTGGGGATGGGGGGCAAGAGTACATGCTGAGTAGAGTTTGGCTGAGTTGATTTGCATAGAGAAGCTATGAGGGTGCGGGACCTTTAGGAAGTGAAGCCACCTGGTCTGCCCGGGCCAGTACCAGAGCTGAGTGTGTGGACTGAACAGTGCTGCTGTTGTCCCTCTGTCAAAGACCACTCTGTCTGGATTCAAGTGTGAATGAACTGAGAAGACCCTGACTGTAATGGTCTATCTTTCCCTGTTAATAACTCAGTGCTTCCCTTACTGGAATTAACATCAAAGATTTTGTTAAAGCTTTTGACGGCATTCTAAGTGAGTGTCTTAAGATGGCAGCTAGCATCTGAAACTGTGGCTACTGTCAGTTTGTTAAGCAGAACTTCTGTATTCCCTTTTCCTACCTCTAGTGAGATGAGGCAGCTCTAAGCCTCACTTTTATATCCCTGGACCTGTGATATCAAATATAGGGAGTCCAGCATGTTTACATATATGAACTGTCAGACTGTCTAGTGAGCAGTCTGGAGGAATACTAAGTGAGGTGAGGCCCAAGGCACTGGGGAAGGAAGGGAGCATAACCTAGTTGTTTTGAAGAACTGAAAGGTAGCAGTACAACAGCTTGTGGAGGTGCCCCTGCCATCCAGTGGTGCTAAGGGGGCATTTCATAAACAGGAGCTTTTATGAAGAATGCATTCAGGCACTAGAATAGATTGCTTTAAGGGAAGCCAATGCTTTAGAGCTGGCCTTCTGTATAGGAGTATCTCTGCTCTGGCTGATTTGGGCTTCATAACAGTCAGATAGCCATTGAGGCTGCAGAAGAGAAAATATGGGATACCAAAACCCAACCTGAATTTGGTATTGGGGCTAGAGGATGCATATAAGCCAAGTGAAAGTGGCCTTGAAGTCCAGCCAGGCAAGTGTGGGTAGTAAGCTCTCCTGGAGAGGCTCTCCAATAGGTTCTATGTTCTTTTATTTGCCAGTGACAAGCATCTTTTGCTGATGTGTTCGTTTTACTGATGAGTAAATTGGGGCTGAAAAAGGCTGTGAATCTAGGTCTCAGAGGTTGTAACCTGTGACTTAATCGGTCAGAGCCCCCAGTCTGTCCTCTTGATTGTAAATAACACAGATTGGGAGGCAGACTGTATTCTGGTAATGTGTGGCATTCTGAAACACATGAAGAATGGATAGGTCAGTGTTGGAGGGCTTGAATATCCTGCCGTGGGCTTTATTGCAAGATTGTGGGTCAGTGAAGTTCTAGAAAACACATGATAGACCTAGTAGACAGTCCCAGGAATGTCAGGGTTCTTTTTGTCTTTTCAACACTTCTGGGTGACCGGAACAGTGAGGTGTTGAGTGGGAAGACTGGCGATGAGAAATAAAGAAAATGAAAGCAATAGCTGGGACCAGGAGATCCTACACAAACCAATGACTTATGCCAAGTAAGTTTATTAAGAGATGCAGCATCAGACATACTATTTGCAGGGGTAGGTATGGGAGTGGATGGCCAAGTTCAGGAGAGAGCTAAGTCAGTCTTGGCAAAGAGAACATTGGATACCTCAGACATAGCTGCCTTAGGACTGGTAACAACAGCCCAGGGAAAAAGAGCATGGGTCCCCAGAAGCTGTAACTTTGACTCTTTTGAGGCATTGGCTTCAGTTTTTTACCAGCCCACTCCTGGACGAGGATACAGCACTTAAAGTTCACATTGTCCTTTCATTGGAGCCTCTAAAAAAGTCTAGGGTCAGTCTTACTCCTCCTACCTGGGTATTAAATACTCCACTTCTCACCCATCCTGATTGTGTAAGGGAGGTAAGAGATAAAAATCGCCACATGTCTGCTGTGGTCCTGCATTAACCTGAGCATATTGGCATTTTCTGTGTGCATACACTGTACACAGGTACAGCTCTGGATAAGAGAAGGGCACCACAGTGAGCACCTGTTCCTCTTTTTTTACCAGTATTTGGTTGTACAATTACACACCTCAAGTTATTAATGGCTACATGGTTTCATCATATGGTTACTTTGTAGTTCATTTTTAATTCATTATCACTCATAAATCAGTTCTTAACACTTTTGGCGTCTTTTCCTCCAGGTCCAGGCATTTCTGCTCAGGATATTGAGCCTCACTTAGAAGCCCTGTTCGCCCAAATGTTTGAGGCTGGGACAACAGAGCAGTTTGGGATCATACTGCAGTCTATTCTTCAGGGGCTGGACATCACTCAGGCATGGAAGTCTGATCAGCAGGTGGATACCTTCTTTCTTTTGTTTGACTGCAGGTGAAAGGAAGGATTGTTTTGATGTTTTTTTTTTTTTTGGAGACAGGGTTTCTGTGTGTAACAGTCCTAGCTGTCCAGAAACTTACTCTGTAGACCAGGCTGGCTTTGAACTCAAAGAGATCTGCCTGCCTCTGCCTCCCAATTAAAGGGATTAAAGGCTTGCGCCACTACTGCCTGGCTTGTTTGAAATTTTATGTCACTTTTAAAACTAGACTGACAAATTTGGCTGAGAGTGGAGGCAGAGGAAGAGCCTGTGGGAGGGAGCCCAGTTGTGGTCTATCTAGCTTCCACTGAAGATTCTTACTTTTCACAGGGGAATTTCTTCAGAATTACAAAAGTGTGCTCTTACTGCATGAGATGCTAAATATTATAAAGACCATATAAAAAAGTCTCTTAAGTTCATCTATCACAGTTTTTTTTGGAAATATTATTAAGGGTTAAGAATGAAGATTAAGAGAGATGCTTGTGAGAAAATAAGACATGTGTGAAAACGTGTGTGGACTTCTCAAATCATTGCCCACACACATTTTTTTTGAAAAGTGCTTGATACAGCCAAACAGCTGTAGACCAGAAATTAAGAATTATGTACGCACGATTGTGTGTGTGTGTGTGTGTGTGTGTGTCTGTCTGTCTGTCTGTGTGTATGTGTACACCCAAACACTCTTGAGTGTTTAACTCAGTTGGTATTTCATTCATGAGGTCCTGGGTTCAAACTCCAACACTGGAAAGAAAAAGAAAAGGAAGTATTTGGACTCTGAGTTCATAAACCCAGTACTCTTCAATTTAGACTGTCTTACACAGCTAACATGTCAGAATGATTGTGGGTACTGTCTAGTCAGGTGTTCCCAGTGGCACTTGAGGAAAAAGTCCCCATAGACTGCTCTAGACTGCTGCTGCTTCTCCTCTTCACTTCCCCCAAGCTAGGGTCTTGCCATTGCAGCCCAAATCCTGAATATTTGAGAATGACTGGGTCTCTAGGCTTCCATTCATTCAGTGAGTGACTTGGGGGGGACATAGCCTCCAAATTTTCATTAATCAAACTGATTAGAGAAGGCGTCATAGCCAAGGGAAACTTGAACTGAGTGAGTATTGAAGAATGAAGAATTTGAAGGTGTGCATGGGGTAGAAGTGTGTTTGTCTACTGGGGCAGAATGTGTACAATTGTGAAGAAATGAATGGGCTCCAAGCCTCAGTAGGTAAATGTATCCTATAGGTATGCAGGAAATTGAGAACAGTCAGATGTGCAGGTGTGTGCGGTCAAGAGAAGACAAGGGGAGAGTGTACAGGGCAGAAATTAGGATCTGGCTGGGGTTGTGTGGCTTCACAGTATTAAGGGAGAAAGAGGCCAGGCCTTTGTGTTTAGTAAAAGTAGGTCTTCTTGTCTGGTTTAAAGTTAAAAGCATTGCCTGATGTCACAGCATCTCACCCAGCATTTCTTTTAAACCTTTCCTTATGAAATTTTTTGGTTTTTAAAATTTTACCATATATGTATAGGTAGGTCCTTTGCCTGCATGTATATCTATGCACCTTGTTTATACCTTGTGCCTGCAGAGGCCATGAGAGGGCATCAGATACACCTTGGAACTGGAATTAGATGATTGTAAGCCATGATGTCAGTATTGGAAATCAAACCTGGATCCTCTGGAAGAGTAGCTAGTGCTCTGAACCTCTAAGTCATCTCTCCAGCACCCTTGTGTAGTTCTTGATCAGCTGGAGTACTAGCATCCTCTGTGGATAACATCTTGGCAAAATGGGGTCTATGATTAGACCATTCTTTGTTTCCACTAAGCTTGCTATCCTGGACCAGTTCTGTGCCTGGTTTAGTAAGATACTCCCTAAGGGCCCTATTTCTGCTGGAGTTATGCTCATCACCGTTGCTTCCTCTCTGTGCACAAATGTGAAAGATGGCCCTTCCTCCTAGAACTCAACCCTGACCAGCCTTTGTCCCTGTCCCAAGTAACAGGGTTCCATTTTATCGTCAGTCCCAGTAAGAGGAGCTCTCCTGTGGGATTGGCTATTTCTGTTCTAAAGTTTGCCCTTTCGTTTCAGGTGGTTTTGTGTGCCATTAGACTACTCAGTCTACTACTGAAATGCCCACTCAATGGAGAGAAGGCGAGTTTGCTATGGCGTACGTGTCCCCAGATAGTCACGGCTCTAACGGTGAGTGGTTTTTCCAAATGCACTCTCCAGCTCTTTTGTCATCTCCTCCTTTGTAAGACAGCTAGTTTCTTGGGATCTGCCATCCTCTGGGTCTGTGGCTATTTCTTGAAGGTGGCCATGAACAGGTAACCAACTCGCTTGTGTTTCCTATCTGTGTGCACTGTTAGACAATAGCAACCTGACTTGGAGGTGGTGAGTGGGTCGGGCACTGAGAACTATTAGGAAGTGATGAGATAAATGGCAATGGCAAGGTGAATACTGTGGGCCATATACTCAAAGTAGGTTAAGGGGGATCCCTGGGACTGATCCTCCACAAAATTCTGTGGTCAGTTAAGCACAAAAAGTGTCAGGAGGGGTACGTGTGTGTAAGGCATGTGATGCGGTAAAGGGGAATACTCTTATCCTACCAAAGTGTTGTGTTTTCATCTGGCAGTGACTTGATTTCATTTTCTACTACGAAAGCCTGATTCATTGAGGCTGGTCTTAATGTTTGCACCCTTGATTGAACCTGTCTCAAAAGGTTCTTACTTTAGATAGGAAAGAGCAGTACCTGTTTGCCATCATTACCATCCTGTTAGAACTTTTGCTATCTGAGAGAATTGTCATGAATCAGCATATTTCCAGAGCTAAAGGGCCTGAAAACTAGACTACGTGTTTCCTTCTGTTTTCTGATTTGCTTCTTCATTTCCCTAAGAATCTGTAAAACCATAAGGCATCTGCTGCATATGTGTGTGTTGAGGAGAGAGTGGAGAAGCAAGTTATTGAGTGGATATGGACCATACTGATGGGTGGCCATAATGGTGACAATGTGTATTGATCACACTTATATGCACCAGGTTAGAACCCTTGATGCCTCTAATGTGTGTGGCAGACAGGCTGCAGAGCCATGTTCCCTGCAGAATGATGCTCTTGTAAGATTCAGGACTCAAAGGCCACCTTAGATACTTACTGTGTCAAGCTAGAAACCATAGGGTACTCTCTAGGTGACCCAGGAATGTGGTTGGTTTTTTTACGCATTTGACTCTTTGTGGGGGCCCACCACCCAGTTCCCAAATAATCATACATAGAGGCTTATTCTTACTTATGAATGCCTGGTTTTAGTTTGGCTCGTTTCTAGCTTGCTTTTCTTAAATTATCCCATCTATCTTTTGCCTTTGGGCTTTTTTCTTTCTCTTTTTCTGTATAAGTTCCCTTTACTTCTTACTCTGTGGTTTGCTGTGTAGTTGGGTGGCTGGCCCTGATATCCTCCTTTTCTTGATCCTTTATTTCCCTCTTCCCAGATTTCTCCTCCTATTTATTATTCTCTTTGCCTGCCAGCCCTGCCTATCCTTTCTCCTGTCTTGCTATTGGCTATTCATCTCTTTATTAGACCAATCAGGTGTTTTAGACAGGTAAAATAACACAGCTTCACAGAGTTAAATAAATGCAATGTAAAAAAAATGCAATACATCTTTGCATCATTAAGCAAATGTTTCACAGCATAAACAAATGTAACACATTTTTAAAATAACTTCCCACAACACAGGGAAGTCCTTTATCTTGAGTCTATTCTCTCATTTTCTAGGAGAATAACTGAAAATCTTAACTAGACCTGTTTTATAATCACAGGCATTTGGGACTGATGATCTGTTTTGGGAAAATACTGTTAATGCATGTCTGACATGCAGCTTCTGTGTAAGAGATTGGGTGTGTCTGATCCCTTTTAAAAAATAGCTTGTCTTCATGGTAGATGTACTCAGCAAAAAGTGAGAGCTGAAGCAGCCAGGTCTATAGGAGACTGGATGATAGCCTTGTCCCTTTGGGCTGTTGATTGTCCACACCATTTCCTTGTACAGCATAAGCAGACTGCCTTTAACATCTAGAGCTTAAGTGATTTTGTTTCCTTGCAGGATTACCTTCACTTTCTTTTCTTTGTCCATCCTCCTTTGTAGCTGCAACACCGAGAGGCCTGCCAGGAACAGCCTGTGGCTCTAGTAGTGATTGAGCCTGTTCTCGATGTCCTGGCTGTTCTGTTGCGGAAAGGGGAGGAGACCATCAGCAACCCTCATCATGTCAGTCTGGCTTTTAACATCTTGCTCACAGTCCCTCTGGATCACCTGAAGGCACTGGAGTTTGGCAGTGTCTTCCAGAAGATGCACAATGTGCTATTCTCCATCTTACAGTGCCACTCTAGGGTGAGAGTAAGAGCACTGCAGCTGCTCCTATGTGTGTTGGAAACGACAGCTTCTAGAGGGGCAGCAGAAGGGCTGGGGCTGCTCAGTGCTGTATATGTGAGAGGCTCCTGTGTTATCCTAACCACCAATAAAAACAAAAGCAACAGACAGAAAACTAAAGGAAAGCAAGAAAGGAAAGCTCTACCATTACAGACTTTGCTTCCTGTAATTTCTCATATGTAAACATAGAGATACTTGACCTATTCTTCGGGCCGCTTGAATTGTTCTTTGCCACATCTGTTACTTTGAGTGGTGTCATATATTATACAAAGAGGTCCATTATTTTGTGTTTGCTAATGATGTACTTAAATGTCACTACCTTGCTTAGATATGTTGGGATTATAATTCAAGTGCTAAAGAGAGTGAGAGTTTATAGTTACTACTGTTATGTTGTACAGAGGCTAGGAACACAGATCTCATAGAAGAGAGAATGGCCAGCTAGCATTTGTTGAAAATTGGCCCTTTACCCCATAGTAAGCCTGTAAAGCATGTGGTAATCCTATTTTAGTGATGAGGCTACTGAGGTTCAATGAACATTTTGACCACTGCCACTTCGTTGAATCTGAGTGTTAGGCTAAACCTATTGATACCTTTGACCGAGGTTTTTTCATGCACCACCCCTAATACATGTGACCAGTAGGAATTCATAAATACTAGGTATGCTCATGTACACATACATGTTGAAATATTTCTAAGTATTTTGATAATCTAAGAATAGGTAGTCTACATATATGCTATGATGTGTGTTTGAAAGTCAGAGGATAAATTTGTAGAGATGGTTCTCTCTGTCTCTTTTATATGAAGTCCAGTGTCCAAATTATGATTCCTATTGCTGTGATGAAACACCATGACCCAAAAAGGGAGTTGAGGAGAAAAGGATTTATTTGACTTACAGTTCCACATCACAGTCTGTCACTGAAGGAATCCAGGGCAGGAACCTGGAGGCAGGAGCTGATGCAGATACCATGGAAAGTGCTGCTTCCTTCCTGACTTGCTCCTCATGGCTTGCTCAGCCTGCATTCTTACAGAACCCAGGACCACCAACCAGGGATGATACCACCCACAGTGGTCTAGGACAACCCCATCAATCACTAATTAAGAAAATGCCTTGCAGCAGGATCTTACGGAGGCATTTTCTCAAGTGAGGCTTCTTCCTCTCTGATGACTCTAGTAGCTTGTGTCAAGTAACATAAAATTAGTCAGCACATTCAGGGACTGAACTCAGGCCACCAGACATGCATGACAAAAATCTTTACCCAGTAAATTATGTAATCTCTCCAGCAATGCTATTTTTAAGAGAAATGGTCTGTTCCAGAGACTTTCAGCTGTCGTCTTTGGCCCTGCCTCCTTTGTCACTACCTTTGATAAGATTTTTTTTCTTGACTAATTATTAAGGTTGTTATGAGACTGTACAATATAATGCAGCACAAATCCATCAGTTTGAGAGTACAGATCTTGCTGAAAGTAAGATTAGAAAACTGACTCCTGGAAAGCTGCTGACACATGGGTTGAGTATTTAGTGAGTTTAGACCTGCGTATAGAGAACATGAACAGCATGATATTAACAGGACGATGTCAGTGGTTAAAGCAGCTAACTGACTGACACTGTCAGGTCTCATGAGGGAAGCCAGTGCATGGTTTTAGATCCACACACATGTGAACATTCAGCTAAACTCCTCTCAGATCTATCTGGACGATATAGCAGGTGCCCAGCATTGACTAAACACCCAGGGAGAGACTATGATGAGAAAACCTCACATTGCAGTTATTTCCTCATGATGACCTGTTACCTTCATTTTGCAAATGAGAAAAATGAGGCACATACAGGACAGATTTGTGAAGTTACCAAGGGTGTCATTGTGGAGCTAGAAAGTTTGGTCTGGATTTGATACCTGTTTATCAGTATAACAAGGGTTCAGAGATAACTTAGAGTATTGATGAAGCTCTGGGATGCTTTCCCCAAAACAGCCTCTTCTTCAACCTGTTGCAAAAAGCCAGTATGAAAGGTTTGCTGTGATGATGTCTGGATTTTGTTGAGTTAATTATACCAGAGAAAATTGTTCTGGTGTTTCACTCTTCTTTTTAGTTGAACACGTAGAACAGTTTGGACTAGTAAATAAATACTCAGTGGTGCCTGTGGTGCCTGCATTGTCAGTATGGTACTCAGTAGCCTGAGACATGTTGGCCACTTGAAATGTGGTCAGTATGAGTAGGATCTGCATGTTTAATTTTGCTTAATTCTAGCTAAATTTACATGAACTCATTGCTGTTTGGCTGGACATTGTGGTTGTGTTCCTGATGTGAGGTATAAAGAAAGCATGTTGGGAGCTGGGGAGATTAAGTATGAGGAGCCCAATTTGGATCTCCAGAATCCATGTAAAATGGGACATGGTACCCTGTGTCTGTAATCCCAGTGCTTTTATGGCAAGTTGGGAGGTGGAGATAGGCAAATTCCTGCAAGGTTGAGGGTCAGCTGGCCTGGAGAACACATTAATGAACAACAAAAAGGCTGTGTCTCAAAAATAAGGTAGAAGGCAAGCACTATCAACTAAGATTGTCCTCTGATCTCTACATCTGTGCTATGGCACGCATGCAGCCACACTCCATACATGACTATGCATTTACACAGATAGATACAGAGATTTAAAAAGCATGTTTTGTCATTTTAGCCTCATTTTTCTTTTTCTTCTTTTTTCCTTTTTTTTTTTTAAAAAATGAAATAAAATTGTCTGGTGTAGTAGTAAATGCCTGTGATCTCACCACTTGGCAAAGGCGGGAAGAGTTCTATGAGTTTGAAGCCAGTTTGATCTACATATGAATTTGTGATACACAGTGAATCTTTGTCACAAAGGAAAAAAATGGATTTAAAAATATAAGAAAGTGAGTGGGGAGGGAGAAGCACTTGGAGGATGATTAGACATTTAAGAAGGTTAGGAGTGAGCTAATCTTTAAAAAGATTATGTATAAGAGTTTTATCTGCATGTATGTATGTGCAGCATATGCATGCAGAGCTCATGATGTCAGAAGAAGGTGTCTGATCTGGAGTTAGACACAGATGGTTGTGAGTTTCTCTGTGGGTACTGGGAACCAAACCTAGGTTCTCAGCAAGATGATTTGTTCCTAACCACTTAGTTATCTCTCCAGTTCCAGGAGCAAACTTCTTAAAAGAGTTGCTTAGTCTCAGTGTTCAAGGGAAAGTCCTAGGCTAGGACTTTCATTTAAGACTGTTTGATCCTCATTTTAAGTGAATTTATGTAATCTTTTTTCCTTCTTAAATACCAATTCTGTGTGTTTCTAGAGTATATTAGAACCAGTGTAGAATAAGCACAAACTCAGCCAATTTTAAATCAAGGTGCCCCACAAATTTTGAAATGTGTGCAATGTAGAACCCCCTACTTCCTAAAACGTTAAAACAAGAACTAAGAAACCAGATGTGAGCCAGATTTTAGCAGTCATTTTAGCAAAAGATAAGAGAAGTATCTGTGCTGCACAGCAGGGTATACATCTCTCTGTATGTCCTGCCAGGTAAACAGACAAGATCACTGACCTACTTCTCTGTTCCTCTATTACTACAGGTGATGCTGAAGGCCATTTCATCCTTCTTGAACTCGTTTAATATACTATTGTTTTCAGTTATGCATGAAGGACGGCAGAAAGACAAAGGTAATTCAGAGTAATGGCTTCAGGTATATAGATTCAAGTGTATTTATCATGTAGTCTTTCTGACTGTATTTCTGAAAATAAAGCCACCAAATTAAGTTCACATAAAATATGTTCAGATTATCAAGTGAATATTCCAAGAAAGAATTTATTGAGAAATATTTTTATTTATGGGTGTGTGCACATGTGATTGTGTATGTGTGCAATGCTAATACTGGTGGAGACCAGAAGAGGGTGTCTGCCACCCTAGAACTAAAGTTAGGTAGTTTTAGGCCACCTGATATTGGTGCTAGGAATGGAACCTAGGTCCTCTGGACCTTAACCACTGAGTTCTCTCCAGCCTCTTGTTTTAGTTAGGATTTTTTTTTTTTTCAAGACAGGGTTTCTCTGTAGCTTTTGGTTCCTGTCCTGGAACTAGCTTTTGTAGACCAGGCTGGCCTCGAACTCACAGAGATCTGCCTGTCTCTGCCTCCCGAGTGCTGGGATTAAAGGCGTGCGCCACCAACGCCCCGCTTTAGTTAGGATTTTTATTGCTGTGATAAAACACCATGACCAAAAGCAACTTGGTGGAGGGAAAGAGTTTAATTTCAGCTTACCACTTCCAGTCACTGATGAAAGTCAAGGTAGGAACTTAGTGGCAGGCACTGAAGCAGAGGCCATGAGGAATGCTCCTTGCTGGTTTGTTCTCCATGGTTTGCTCAACCTGCTTTTTTATGCAACTCAGTACCAGCTGCTCAAGGGTGGCACTGTCCCCTGTCACATGGACCTTCCCACATGAATCATTAATAAAGAAAATACTATTAATAATTTGCCTACAGGAAATATTATGGAGGCATTTTTTCAGTTGTTCTTTTTCCCAACTCACTTTAGCTAAGGTCAAACTGACAAAAACAAGAACAAAACTAAACACTACCCAGCCAGGGCACCTCTGAAGATAATTTTTGTTTGAGACAGGATCTCACTGTGTAGCTCTGGCTGGCCCTGAACTCAGTATGTAGACCACATTGGTTTCAAACTAACACCTGTCCTCCTGACTCAAGATAATTTTCTTTAACTATTTCAGATCATCACATTTTACTGTATCCCAAACGTGACTGCATCTGGCATCTCTGATTGAAACTTCTTTTTCTGGAAGGAAGGGGGTGGAGGAGAAGAGACGAGAGGCTGCACACTACTGACAGATGTTGCAGTTCTCCCTTTACTCTGCCCAGCTGTGAGCAGCTAGCTGGTGGCATAACGAATTTATCTTGCATAGCACAGTGCATGTGTTCATCTAATTAATATTAAAAATCTACTGATGTGTAGGGCTGGTAACAAGTTCTTCTCTTTGATAGCCTTTGCTGGTATATGACTGTCTGTGGTTCCAGTTAAGGTTATTTAATATCCCAAGATGCAATTCTGATGGTGATGTCTTCCCTGATGTGCCCAGGGAGGCAGAAAGGCAAAGCAACGTCTTGCTATGGACTGTGGAAGTAAAGTGTGGCTGTATGCTATGTCAAGCTTGTCCCTTGTCACACGTTCTGAGCATGCATGGAAGCATGTGCTTCATGTTGACCTAACTCAGTTCTCTCTAATCCCAAGGTTATTCTCTGTACTTATGGCTTGGTCCACAGGGTTTATCAGTTCTATTCTCCTTATTGGGTTCTGATGCACTCTTATGATTATGCATGAACTTAGTGACTGCAATAATCAGTCACTTATACTGTCTAAATAGAGATTGTTAGGTCATGAAGCACATAGCTACAGTGCGGGCCTTGTGAAATACTTCCCAAATATTAACTGAATTTCATAGAAATTAAATTGATCTAGAGAACTACATTTATTAAAGATAAGATGTCTGTGTGTTTATTCTCAAAAATTACTGTACATATTAAAAATCAGTTTTATTGAGGTTTAATGTTTGCATGATGCACTTCATCTGTTTAATTGATAATTAAGAACAAACTGAAGCCACGCCACAACCAAAAGATAGATTCTTTATGCGTTTGAGTTCTGTGTCTTTGTATTAGGTCTGATCTTGAGCAACCACCAGTCTACCTTTTGTTCGTGGGTTTGTTTGCATTTTCCAGATTAATAAATAAAGTTATAGCAATTACTGTGCTTAGCAAAGCTTGGGAGGTGCTGTAGCATGGCCAGTGCTCCCTATCAAGTCAGGGCAGACTTGGGGAGCTCAGGAACTAGATGGTCCTACACTGACTAGCAAGAGAGGACTGGAGCCGGGCGGTGGTGGTGCACGCCTTTAATCCCAGCACTTGGGAGGCAGAGGCAGGCGGATCTCTGTGAGTTCGAGACCAGCCTGGTCTACAAGAGCTAGTTCCAGGACAGGCTCCAAAACCACAGAGAAACCCTGTCTCGAAAAAACCAAAAAAAAAAAAAAGAGGACTGGAGTGAGAAGTGACTCTGGGAAGATAGGGGGAGGTGGGGATTGTCGGCTGATGGCCTTATATCTTATCTCCATTTGCCTGTGAAAGGAAAACCTTACACAGACAATTTCTAGAACTGATAGAGGCAAAGGCATAATTTGGAACTCTTAAATCCTCTCAATAAACTGTTTGTCTTGAAGATAGTCTTCATTTGATCCTGTCTTATAACAGTCTATCTCCTTTAAAATGATAACAGTCATAGATTTCATCCTTAAGTGAATTGATTTTTCTAGTTAGATATTGTATTAGTTAATTACCTGGCTGTGGTAAAATACTGACATAGGCAGCTTAAGAAAGAAGGGTTTATTTTGGCTCACAGTTTGAGGAGATACAGCCCATCATGGGGACAGAAGTATGGGGTGGTTGGTCAGGAAGTAGAGGTGAATGCTGGTGCTCAATTGGCTTTCAGCCCAGGACCCCAGTCCATGGAATGGTGCTGTCCATTTCAGGGTGATCGTTCTTGCCCACTTAATACTAGGTTGACAATGAAATTAACTATCAGAGGACCTTCCCCCCCCCCCCCAAAAAAAAAAAACACGTGGACTTGAATATCATGTTTTTTACCGTTGTCATGTTTGGACATATCTTTTACCATATTTTTGTCTATAGAATAAGCCAGTAGAGTCTGGAAAGAGTAGAGAGTTGCAGTCAGTTTTACTTATAGTAAGATTGTAGGGCTAGAGGAAATGCTCCTGCCATTTCAAAGCTAATCATTTTCCATCTGTAGGAAGCATGGATGACTTGCCAGTGGTCCTTGAGTGTGCACGCCTGGTGGAAAGGATGTATAGCCACATTGCTACTCGAGCTGAGGAATTCACCGCGTTCTCCCCATTCCTGGTGGCCCAGTATGTGACAGAAGCACAGAAGGTAAAAACGTAGACTGAACATGCCCATCAGGGGTTTTATGGATATGTGTGTGTGATCAGCCTTTTAGAGTTATGGGTAGAACTGAGGGACGTGTAAGGGTCATTGGAGCCCCTCACTGAAGTTGCTCAGGACTCCAAGACTCCCAGGTCTCTGGTTCCAGTACAGACTTGGACCTTGGACCTGTTTCCTTTTCTTGTTATCCAATAAGCAAGTGAAATCTCACCCAGGGCCAAGAACTTTTATGGATCCAAACCAGCAGACCTGGAGAAGAGGGACCTGGGGCAGTCATCACATTCATTGCTCCTAGACACTCAGAGCAGACTACAGGGTAGACACATTGGGAATTTTGTTACTGCTGATTTTTGTTTAAATTTATCTGGCTTTTGGGATTGTTGTTTTAAATGATGAATTTATCATTAAGAGTTACTTGTTCACATATGTCCATGTACTGTTTTCACACTTCCATGAGCTACTGGTGCCCCGTGGTCAGGCCAGTTTAGGGCATAAATGACATTGGAACTTGACTTTGATTAATGAATGCCAGTGTGTCAGAGTCAAGTGAATAAATCCATTTGCTTGTATTTGTATAGACATGTTTACATGCTTTCTGGGAAATAGCGAGTCTGGTGGACTGGATTGGTACTGGGTTTCTTGCATGCATGGTAGTTGGATCTCTTGGTGGGCACTGTAGAGGAATGTCTAGCTAGAAAAGTCAGCATTTCTCCAGGGAGGTTTGGTTGAACAGCCTTTCTAGATTGCTTCCTTCCCTATTTCAAGTAACTGTAACTGTTGAATAACTTTCCACCCCACACCTTGTCATTCTAGCAACTTTATCTGGGCTAGGGGGTGGGAGGGAGCAGCAGTGCTAAGTAAGTGTTTGAGAAGATACTTATACTGGTTCTGGAATGACATGAGGACTTGTCATTTGATTTCCTTATGCGCGTTTAACAGTTTTATCGAAGCTTGATATACCGTAGCATGTGAGTCATTAACATAAAAGCATTTTTTTAAAAAAAATTTTTATTATGTATACAATATTCTGTCTGTGTCTATGCTCGAAGGCCAGAAGAGGGCACCAGACCCCATTACAGATGGTTGTGAGCCACCATGTCGTTGCTGGGAATTGAACTCAGGACCTTTGGAAGAGCAGGCAATGCTCTTAACCTCTGAGCCATCTCTCCAGCCCAACATAAAAGCTTTTGATGAGTGAAAAGCTTGTACTTTTTAATTGGAGAATGAAAAGAGACATAGTAATTTCATTTTGCTGAGGTACAAAAAGGAAAGTGATAATTGGAACCTTGAAGTCATATTGTTCTAAGATTTATTTTATGAAATCTCTGGTCTCCTGGCTTTATTATTCATCTTTAGTTTAAACTTGTCCATTTTTTTTTCTTTTTGTTTTGTTTTGTTTTGTTTTAATCTTGAAAACCAAAAGGGCTTTTGGTTTTGTTATTAAGGCCATTACATCCTGGAATCCATTGGCAGAAGTCTAGGTCTTCTCTTTCATTTATTTTTAAATTTAGTAATAAGAAAACACTCCATATACATTAGAGACTGCTACTGAAAACCATAAATTCTCCCAGGCAGCATGTTTAGCTTTAATTAAATGCCCAAGAGTAAAGACAACCAGAGAGATCTCGGCATTCATTCCTTGTGTTTCTGTAGACTAGATGTTGTGGGAGGACCTGTGAGAGACAGACAGATTTCCTGGGAAGACCCTGTTGGTCAGGAGATGCTGCAGCCTACAGGCCTGCTTGTTTTGTCTGCTCTGTGTAGTGAGGAATCCCAGTGAAAACATAGGAAGATGTTTCCAGTTCTTTGCTCTTTTACTTCCAGCTTAGGTTTACAGCAGGTTCTCCATATCATATTGCTAGCTTGGGATGAGTACTGGTTAATGCTCATCCCACTCAGTGAGTTTTGAAGCTGCTGGGATATGTTTTCATTCACTGACCATTGATCCTAGCTGTAGAAACTGCCTTTGTCTTAGAAAGTCTGAAGCCCAGGGATCTGTGGCTGTACCAATTTCATTCTGCTTACTGAGCTCTGATGTTTTCAGCATGTTGCCTGATTTGTCCCTGGTTTGTGCTTAGAGCCTTCCTCCTTCTTTCCCAGGTAACCTTGTACCCAACTGTGAAGAACCTGCTACAGGAGGGAATTTATCTCATCTTGGATCTCTGCATAGAGCGTGATATTCAGTTTCTGCGGGCCTCGCTACAGCCTGGAGCACGAGATGTCTTTAAGGAGCTGCACAGCGACTACCTCAAGTACCACAAGGCCAAGCATGAAGGAGAGAAAAGATATACAGCCTAGGCCATACCACAGAAGCACTCTTTCTGGTACATCTTGCAGAGGCTTAATGGTTCAGAGTCATAGAGGATGTAAGGCTTCTGAAATTCTCATGCACATTATTAACAACCATGGGAACTCTTCCTGCCACCCCACGAGTCCCACCGTGTCTCACTGTGTATCCCTGACTGGTTTGGAACTTACCATATAGACCAGGCTGGCCTTGAACACAGAAATCCACCTGCCACTTCCTTCTGTATGTTGGTGCTAAAGGCATGCACCACTTTTGAGATTATTTATTTTTATAGCTTTTTTAAATTTTAATCTGAGTATTCTTTAATATTCCTCTTCCTAGGATGATAAGGATTGAACCTGGGGCCTTACACATTAATTTCACACTCTGCCACTCAGCTACACCTTCATGCCTCAGTATATCTTTTTATAAATAAGTGTGGCTAAGAAACCTGAAAATAGGTTTTGGGATTGGATGAATTTAATGGGAAAAAATTGCTGATCATTATGACTACCTAATGTCCTTTTCCTTTTTGCCTCTCCTGGCTGGAAACTGTAGGACTGGTGTTTTGCTTCTGATACATGGGACTGTAGTTAAAGCCTGTCAATAATTCTGCCCTTTAAACCAAGTAGCACAGAGACACTTTCCAGCTGCCACTCTTGTGCCTTCCCTCTGAGAATTCTGGTGGTGCTGGGGGAGCAGCCAGGGCCCTGGATAGGATGGTATGTACCTATCTGGTAGGTAGGTGTTCTAGCACAGGAGCCAGGGCTCTTGTTTGTTCCTGCTTCAGTTTGAGAAGTTCATTATAAAACTTCCTGCTCAGTTCGAGAAATAATGTTAACTGCTCTTATTATCTATATCTAAACAGTGTATTTTAATGATCTCAGTTACCCAAACAGCCTTTATTACCACTTAAGAAATACCTTGTTTAGTCTCTTTGTTGTGTATGTGTATATATATAAATATATAGTAAATTGATCAAAATGTGTTTTAATGTTTTCTTTTGCAACAGTTGTCATATTAGAGTCAATAAACATATTTGGTATTTTTTAATTAGCAGCATAGCTGCTTCATTTACTAAGTCCCCCATTGTCAGACATAGGATTCTTCTACACTTTCCTTTATAAATATCGTCCATGGCTTGATTATTTTCTAAGACAAATTCACATAAACTGTTTGTTTGTTTAGTTTTGAATACTATGTCTTGTATTTTGAGACAGGAATTTATTCTATAGCCCAGGTCGACTTTGAACTTGATCTTCCCGCTTCAGCCACGTAAGTATTTGGATAATAGTTGTGTGCCACTGTAGTTGGTTGTTTTCTTTCTTTTTTACATATCACTGGTTAGCCTGACCAGAAAGTCTTATTAGTTTTAATAAACTTCTATAAATATTGCCCACTTACCCTCTAGAAAGCATACACATTGATTTTTTTCCCCCAAGTAAATCTTTCACCACTTGATTTGTTCTATGTAGATAGGAATTGTGGGTAGGCAAGAAGTTCTTCTGGTGCTGACAGGCACCAGCCCTTGAGTGCCCGAAGCATAGGAACTGGACTGGCAGACCCAGAAGTCTATGGCTTAAGGCTAGAGAACTGGAGACAGTAGGCCTTACAAGTCTTAGAATCTGGATCTTGATTCTTAAGTAGAAGGCTTAACTGCTGTGAGCTTTGAGCACTTGGCAACTATTAACAATCCTTTGCTTCTGATAGCCATGAACAACAGGCAGTGGTGGCATGTAACACTTGTTGGTGTTACAGCTCTTAAATGAGCCTTGAATACTGAGACCTGAGCTCTCACAGTGACCAGTGTTATAGCTCTCAGACCCAGGGTGTCTGAAATGCTTGACCTTTGACAATGGTCAGTTCTATGGTTCTTCAGCCTTAAGACTCTAGGCATTTAAGCCTTGGCAGCTTTTTGGAATTGTCAGTCCATGTGTAGGGCCTGCAGTTGTTCTTTTTCAGCTCTGCGCTGATTCTGTCATCTCTGCCCCCTCCACTTCCCACCCAGGTCACTTTCTAGAACTCCTTAGCTACCCTTTCACTGCTGTTGTTGCTGTCATTAATGGCCGTCTTTGCCACCGCTACTTCTCTGCCTCTGCTTCCATCTCTTACGTTACCAGCTAGCTCAGCCTGTTCTCACTGATACTACCAAAAAAGCAAGCAAGGAAAGATTGCTTGAGCTAAGTGTGATGGTGCATGCCTATAATCTCAGTACTTGGGAGGTAGAGGATCAGGATCAGTTTGTCATTCTCAGAGATTTTGAGGCCAACATGCATATTGCATGAGATCTTGTCTCAAAGAAAACAACAGCAAAAGACTGCTTACAAGAAACCTTCTGTTGGACGCAGTCGTGATTATAACAGTAGAGTGCAACACAAGAAAGTGTCCTAAAGTCAACTGAATTGCCTGCAGTGCTTGTATGTCCAGAAAAGAGATGTGGTAAGTATGTTTATGCCGGTCACAGGCCTTCTGTGGCCACCGGGGAGGTGCTCCCTGCTGGTCTGGGTGAAATAACTGCCGAACTCACTGAGCCTCACTGAGAAAGTTACTGTAGGGTGTCTGGTGTTACAGTCGTAGTTCTTTGTGGAGGTGTGATTGAAGGTAGTTTCCTCAAGGTATTCAGAGTATGAAGTGGGTAGACTACCACAAACAGGGTTGTGCTGATAATACGCTGCTCATGCCAGCTGGGCCCCAGGGAA